GGGGGGGGTGATGGAGGAACAGAATCTGTTTGCGAAAAGCAGATTAATACATTAACCATTTACATCTCTTTTCTTCCTCCCATGTTCCCTTAGATATTGGCTAACCTCCATCCTCTGAGTGGGCCTACATCAGCCTTCCTGAGGGTCCTTGTCCCCCACCTGGAAAAACCCTTAGCCTGGGGTAACTTACAGTCTTCTCCACTCACTATTCATTAGTGCACTACTGCTTCTTTCACTCCAGTGCCCAGGAGCATGGAGTGAGGTGGACAGGTATGATCAGATCTGCTTTCTACCAACACTTCTTTAGCAGGTCTTTCCTTCCATTTGGGATTTTTTTGTCCAGTGCTCCTAAAAATCAGCCCCACAGGGACCTGATTTTTCTTGGTAGAGGGATCCCTTCTTGTTCTGCCTCTGTTCAAGCGGGGAGATGATACCCTCAATGAAACTGTGAGCCATTTGAGTGTATTTTGGTGAGATTTTTAGGAATAAGTTTATGCAGTCAGAAGAGGACTGGGAACTTACGACCTTAGAGGGTTTAATAGCCTGTAACCAACACTGCCAAGCCTATGCACCAGCACAGTCTGTTCTGGGACACATAATAGCAGTGGTCCCCACTGCACATTAAGCCACTTTTTCTGCCCAGTCTTGCCATTTGCACTTTGGCTGCCAGCCAGGATTCACATTTACAGGCTGCTTCTAGTGGTATATGGGTTGATTTGAGAGGATTTTATTTCAGTGTTAGGGTTTCATGGTGATGTTAGTACTCTTCATCTCTCCCTCCTCACACTTTACTCAAGTCATTTTGCTGTGGCATGGCCATTGTGGCCATTCTCCTGTGACCAAGGGCAGTGTCTGTGCTGAGCAGCTGCCCTTGGAGGGCTGCAGGGCAGCAGCATGTACCTCATGCCTCATGCCTTGTCTCTGCGAAATGGTGATGCTGTAAGAGCACTGCAGTGAGTGGAGATTCCTGTCATGGGATGTAGGGCACCACAAGCTGTACTCTGTCAGAAACCTATAGGCACATACTCAACTTAGATATTCTCACTCCCTGCTCATTATGTAAAAACAGTTCCCAAACTGCCTTGCACAATGGTTTAGAAATCTGTTTCTTCCCCGCCTCCTTTCTCTAAGCCCTCGGCTATAACCACCACTTCAAGCAGCCTTGCTTGGCAGCCTCGGTCCCCTCTCTGAGCAGTAGCAGTGGAGGTGGGATCCCCTTCCACCACCGTGTCTGTCTGAGACAGGCTGACACCAACGCTCTCCCTTGTCTGCCAAAGGACAGGCAGACAGCAGGCAACAGCCCAGTCTTTGCAGTTGTGCAATGTGCTGCCTCCTTGTGCCCTCCTTCTGCCAGGTCACCTGTCATGGAGAGGAAATGGATTTTCATGACAGGTGACCAATGGTAGATGGACCCAGTTGATTGGAAGCACAAATGTAGCTGTAGGTTTACTGTGTAAAAACATCTCCTTGAAGTCACCAGGAGTTCCACTCTGCTTTGTGTCACCAGTGGTCCACAGCTTTCCAAACCTGTCTGAATGAACCGGGAGCATCCTGAGGTGAGCTTGGCTGACCTCCATCCTCTCCTGGGGCAGGAAAAAACATGGCACGAGGGTGCCTGAAGCCACATAAAGAGCAGAGCTGGAGACAAAATCTTAAATATGCTCCTTATTCCTTTGCTGTAACCATTAAATCATGCACTCAAGTCTTCAAGCCTTGGGCAGAGCTGCAATCTGTGCTGGGGATGCCCGGCAGGGGACAGCAGGATCCCACCTCTGCACCACCAGCACAGCTGCTCCCTGCAAAAGGCAGGCTGTAGCCAGCCCTCAGCAAGGCTGTGATGAAAGGGCACCATAAAGTTTTACTGTCTGAACAAGAAAAGCATGATAGACACCACATGGATCTGAAGGGGGCTGGGGAGAGCCCAGAGCTGCAGTGAACACGAATCAATAACTAGACTGTTTTGCTTTATGCTCTGCGATCAAAGGGTGTCCAATATGCTGTCGAACAGTCGCCCCCTACTCTGAGAATTTCCCACCCCCCTAAGGATGGGGTCAAGGCTCAGCTTATACTGCCCTGATTGTCCCCCACTCAGGACAGACAGTCCCAGAGGCCTTTGGCAGCACAGCCCCAATGCCACAGGCTGGGCCAGCGGAGAGGCTGAGCTGGGGGCACTCGTGAAGAGCCTTTGTGCTCACAGCCTCTCCTGGGGACTTTCTCACTTCTGGCATGGATGGAGAGGCACTGTGTTTCTCCTGGGGCCAGGCCTGGCATTTACACAGGCTGTGCCTTGTGCCTATCCATGACTGGGGAGTGAGCTCTCATCCAGGCATCCAGCATTAATAACGATCATCACACTGTGGTGCAGGATGGTGTAGGGGTGCTGCCAGGGAAAGGGGACAGTCGTTGGTGCCTCTGTGGCAGAGGCACTCTTAAGCAGAAACTGGATGTGGGAACACATCTGATATATTTGTGGGGATCTCGCAGAACTCTACAGCACCTATATCACCCTCCAGTCAATGAGGGCCAAGAGTCCAAGTAGCCTGTGTCTCTGATGCCGGTGATTCCTGCCTTCCCTGTGAAACATGAAAGCCTCCTCCCCCCAGTCCTAGGCTAACTTCCCTCACTCAGAAGGGGATCTCCCAGCCTGCCAGCATAAAAATCCCCATCTCTTATTTGGTCACCTGTTTGACACCAACCTTAGAGGCTTCCCAAAACGTGGACTAACACTGGCCCCCTGCAGCAGCTTGTGGGAGGCTTCTGACTGGCCACCCCCCAGGGGTCTATTCTGC